CTCTCTCTCTCTCTCTCTCTCTCTCTCTCTCTCTCTCTCTCTCTCTCGCCCAGGCTGAACTCTGAGTTTGCCGTCTACCTCACTTGCATGTGCAACAGTGCAGGAGCTATCTGTTGTTACTCCACTGGGGTTTCTAGGGAAGTGTTGTTGGTATAGACCCTGCCCCTTCCACCCCTCGGACTGTTTCTTTTCTATGCCTGTTTTCTAATATGAAAACAGCCATAGGGCATCTACCCTGCAACATGCTAAAAATGGAAAAACGAACCAAAGGATCTGAGAAGTGATAGCAGAATGGAACAACTGTTCCAGCCCTAGAATTGAACCCCTGGGCTTGCGGTTCTACAAGCAAAATAACCCACTCCTTAGTTAAGCCCCTGGAGCGCTGTCGCAAAGAGCCAAGCACAGTCCTGTTTGGTAGTGAAGGCTCTTCTGAGAATCCAAGCAAATGGCGTTGCCTCTCAAAGCTGCATTCCGTTTGTGTAAAGGAGACAACAAAGAATAAACGCCAGTAGCACATCACACACTGCGCGCAGGCGCCTTGAGGAGCCCTCGGCACTTGTCATCCACCGCATCAAGAATGCAACCACCATATACAGCAAGCAGAGACGGTGCATGCAAGAATACCTATGCCCATTGCCTCACAAGACATCCGTGAGGATCCAGGGAACCCTGGACTAAATAATGTAACCCCGCTCCTCGAGTGCTCCCAAAGCCCTGTTTCTGAGTTACCCGTCAAGGACTGGATGAAGATGAACGTGTGAATACTTGATCCTTGATCCTAGCCAAGAGGACTGGAAACCATGAGAGGCAAGTCTGGTGAGGGTAGGAACCTCATGCCTACTCAGAAGGAAGAATCACACCACGGCAGGAATGGATAGAGAAGCCAAGCGGGGACACGTGGCAGCCTGCTGCCTGCTGCCTGGCAAGCAGCCTCTCCAGGAAGCCCGTTTGTGCCCACACATCGGTGAGGTCAAGCATGGTGCTCTAGTCCTGCCCTGCCTCGTATTGGGAGGTGTAGAAAGCTGCATACTTGCCCCAGATGGATATCACTGAGAACAGCCTGTGAAGGGTGTTCACATCACATCACGGCCTCCAGGGTGGGTGATCTCACGGGCTTGAAGGGAGGTGCGGAACTGGAGGAAGCAGTGGACACAGAATTGGGCAGCTCTGCCACAAAAGAGAAACACCAGGGCCACAGGATTTCCTGTCAAATCTGCACTGGTCATGACCCAGAAAGCCACAGGGTGGAAAGGTGTGGGTTCATAGCCATAGAGTACAAATAATCTCATCTGATGCCTTACATTTTATTCACTTAACATGCATGGGCATTTTGCCTGCATGTATGTATGTGCACTACGCACATGCAGTACCCAAGGAGGCCAAAGGGGGGCGTAAATCCCCTGGGTCTGTAGTTAGAGTCATGAGCCTCCATGTGAGTGCCTAGAATCCAACCCTGGTCCTCTGGAAGAGCACCCAGTGTTTTTAACCACGGAGTCATCTCTCCAGCCCCTTGAAAAAAAAGTTTTAAGAAATCCAAGTGGTTCCAGGTGAAACCAAGTCTTTCCAGACGGCCTCACTGGGCCTCCGGCAAAATTGAAGCCTGGCCAGCCACGGTCCAGAGATAGACAATTTGTCCCCCTTCTGTGTGCCTCACCCCTCCTGCACACCCCCAGCACCTCAGGCTCACACACAGCATACATGGGCATATGTGGGCATACATGGGCATACACAACCATCCTGCAGGAGACTCTGCCTCCTAGGCTGAAGGTTGTGCTGCCACAGCTGCTCCTAGGGCCTGAAGAGTCTGCTTCTCCACCTCAGGGAGCTTTCAGTTTCAGTTTCTCCAAGGTCACCAGCAGGTGTTTCCCCTGTATCTCACAGATTGAGGGCTGACTGAGCAGCAAGAGACTGACCCAAAGGTACCTGACCCCTTTGTAGACATGAGGCTTTGAATGTGTCTCTGCTGCTCCGAAAGCTTTATCTGCATCATCACACTGGTCAATCTCCATGGTTTTAAGAAATGGTTCTAGCTCCCTCTGGTCCCCTTCTCCCTGGCCCTCAGTCCTGCTGGACCTTACCTTAGTTTGGGTTTCTATTGCTGTGAAGAGACACCATGACCACAGCAACCCACATAAAGGAAAACATTCGTTGGAGCTTACAGTTTCAACTGTTTAGTCCATCATCTTCATGGCAGGACATGGTAGCGTGCAGGCATGCACGGTCCTGGAGAAGGAGCTGAGAGTTCTTCATCTTGATCTGCAGGCAACAGGAAGTGAACTGTGTGCCACACTGGGCATAGATTGAGTATACAAGACCTCAAAGCCTGCCTCCACAGGGACACACTTCCTCCAACAAGGCCACACCTACTTCAAGACCACACCTACTTCAAGGCCACACCTACTTCAACAAGGCTGTACCTCCTAATAGTGTCACTCCCTACAGGCCAAGCATTCAAACACATGAGTCTATGGGGGTCATACTGTTGAAGCAAGCTGCTTGTTGGTTCCCGGCAGTTCAGACCCAAAATAATTACATAGAAACTATATTGTTTACAATACTGTTTAGCCAATAGCCTAAGTATATTTCTGACTCTTACATACTAATTTAACCCATCTCCATTAATCTGTGCATCACCACAAGGTCGTGGCCTACCAACAAGATTTCAGTGTGTCTGTCTCCAGCGGGGCTACATGGCTTCTCTCTGACTCTGCCCTTCTTTCTCCCAGCATTCATTTTAGTTTTCCCCACCTATCTCTATTCCCTGTGCAGGCCCAAGACAATTTTTCTATTAACCAATCGTATTCACATCATACAGAGGGGAATCCAACACCACATACCTATTCAGACCACCACAGTCCCCTTCTCCCATATTTTTAGGGAAGTGATAACTCCTCTCTGGCTCTGTGTGTGTCTCACTCTCTGTTTTGTGTCTTCAGAAAAGGACAAGGAACCCTCATTTTACAAACAAGAAGACAAAGAGGGCATGTGAATTCCAACAAGTAACAAAGCCATGTGCAGGGCCTCCTCCTAGCTGGGGACAGTGGGCAAGAAATCAATGTCTCCCTGGGAGTTTGGAGAAGTTTCTGAGGTCCAGGCATTGATGACCCCCACTTCTCCGAAGAGCACCTACCAAACACAGTCACCAGCCTTGTGACAGAACTCAGCAGGCAGCCTCAGAAGGGTGGGGGAACTGGTTCTCCTCTCAAGGGTCTGACAATTAACCCTTGTGGTGCTGTGAATTAGCAGAGAAATACAAAGTCACCTGCCTCTTCAAAGTAGGCACGGCACACAGTGACTGCACAATAAATGCTAACCTCTGCCTTACGATTCCCCTTCAGACACGTGCATTCCCGTTTGGGCCTCTACCCCCAAGGGACATTAAGTTCCTGTTCATGACTCAGAGGGCTGTGTTGAGACTCAACCTCCTAACTTCCACTCATCCTCAATGGGTAAAAGAAGGGAGACCAGAGCAGAAGCCAGGAGGAAGGAGTGTGGGGTAGAGGGCCAGCGTCACCCGAGTCCAATTTTCTGGCTTTCCCTCCATCCTTACAGTCTGTCCAAGCGCCAAGGACGCACTGGACCCCGGATGCCTATTTGTTACCTCTTATGAGGCAGAGCCCCTGGCAATCTGAAGAGACCTAGAACCGTGTGGTCTTTTCCCAGAGGGACATTTGCGTCAGCAGGCAGATGGCTATGAGAGATTGCCACCAAGCTAAGCATTCCACACGCCTGGGATACAGTTCAGCTTTCAGGAGTGATGTCAGAACAGTCAGCCACCGCCGCCTCCAGCCCCAGATCCCAGCAACCACCCCGTCATCATCCACACCAACCCTTCTAGAGGGACTGCCTCCTCTAGACCTCTCAAAAGGGCTCTGTGGGCCTGCACTGTGCTGGGGCCAGGTGACAGACATCAGAGGGTTCGAGGCCTTGTGCCTCTGAAAGGAAAACTTCCATCTGATTGTGTGTGGGGAGGAGTCTCCCCTTTATATACTCGAGACAGAAGAAATGTTACGCAGTGAAAATGAAGCCGAGGATGTTTGCGCAGTTCCGCTTTTATTGAAATGCCACATACAGTTTGGGGAACTGGAATGGGATCCTATTAAAGTAACACATTTGGGGGAATGTTTTTCGGCTTTCGCTGTATTGATCACATGACCAGTGTTCTTTTACAAGATATACAGTCCCTGACATTCATGCAGAAAACAGCAGATCAGACCATGGGCCTGTGCCAGTGTCGGGTGATGACTCATGTCAAGCCCAGGCCAGGACATCCACACATACACAGTCTGTGTCTTGAGTTTTCTTTCAAAGAAAGTATTTTACACATCATATACAAATTAAACAAGAAGTCCAACAAAGGTCCTTTATTACCACCAAAAGGAGGGAAATCATTTACAGTCTAATAACCAAAGGCAAGAACAGTACAGGGCCCATTAATCCCTGCAGATGCCACAGCCCCATGCATTCCTGCCGTGGCTGCCGCTACATCCAGAAGTCACTGAATCCCGTGGTAAAGGCTGCACAGGGCCTCTAAGACTGTGATTGCCCACACAGAAGAAGCCTCTTCTGTCCCCGTATGTTGGAAGTGCGGCTGGATTCTCTGCTTGGTCAGTAGATAAACAATCTAACTGACCATGGGGAGTCTAAGCAGTGCAAACACACACATGGGGAAAAGCCTACTGAAACCACCCATGGAACCACTTCCTTGCTTCTGTGCATCAGAGCCTTGGACATTCTGTCCAGCTGAGTGAGTTTGCTCAGCCTCCCAGCTTGATCCAACCAGGTGCAAACAGGAAGAAGGCAGTTTAAATGGCACCTATCCCAAAAATAATAAATTAAGATTCAAAAAAAGAGAAACAAGAGTCCTAAGACAGATAAATGCACAGAACAGAGTCTGGAATGGAGACAGCTCAGGAAAAAATCAGTGTGAGCATCTGTTAAGCACATTCTTCCCAGAGGTCATGAGGGACCCCCCTTCCTAAGTACAGAGAACGCAAACTTCCCAAAGAGACAGGACCCAGCCACAGAGGCCTCGAGTACTAGAAACCTCCAAAAACCAGGAGACGATAGAGAATAAGCCAGGTCTGCCGGGTCCGGGCAGCCTAGGGAATGGCCCAGGGGATGAGGGCCAGCCCAGCCCCAACCCTGCAGATTCAAAATCACAAAGAGATAGGAGATATAGACAGACAAGTGCTGAGTCAAGTTGTCCATTAGTCCTAGAAACTGAAAGGCGGAGCCCCATGGCTGTGCCTTGGAGTCCCACGGTCTCCCTGAAACGCTACAAACCTGGAGCTACGGACAGAGGCGTCTGAGAGGCGAGAAACCAAACAAGGAGCGCTACAGGTGCACATTGTCAGGGTGAGCGACACACGGAATAGCATCTCATTATTGTGCACAATAGAAAGCGATTCAAATATCATGAAAAATTATCTATAAAAATATCTACAGTAAAGCTTTAGCTTGAAAAAGCTGCAGCTTCGATTTTACAAAATAAAAAGGCAATCTTTGAAAGGATCTGGCTCAGAGGTATACAAACATTACACAACAGATATCAAAGTGGAACAACTCGAAGAAAGCATCTGAGGGGATATTGCAACTGGTTTGTCATGAGACAGAATTAAGAACTCTTATTGCATAGCAGAAAAATGAGGTCACTTCATTTGCATAATACTGCCATGATTTTAGATGGAGACGCTATTGGGTACTTAGGAGAAGTAGCTTCGGGATTCAGAAACTGACTTCTACATTGTCCGAATTAGCATCCAAGTGGTGTCTGGGCTGCTTCTGACCTTGGGTCTCGATTCCATTTGGCCACTGCAGTCAGATTTTAGATGGAGCCCTGGCACGGCTGTGCTCACAAGCAGTGGCAGCTGCTCTGACAGGGGGAGGGGGGGAGGGTAACCCGCCACATGACTAACACCGACTTGAAAGTGAATCTGAATTGCCCACCGTGGGGAGACGTCGACCTGATGCCTGAGGATGGAGCAACACAAGTCTCGGGGTGGCATCTGTGGGCAGCTAGGACAGATTGGCTTTTTGGTGATGACGTGCCAGTGTTCTAGTCCCCAGGAGAAAGGACGCCCGAGGATGAAATGAGCGGAACCCTTAGCAGCTTTGCCTGCAAAAGCAGCGCTCTGCAGGAAGGGAGACGGAAGGTAGGGCCAACGACAGCGGAAACGACAGCGGAAACGCCAGCAGAAACCGCAGCTGACCAGCTTCCATGGAAGGGGGGATTCTCTCCAGGAAGAGACTCACCTTGACCCCTAAATATAAAAGTCTAAGTTCTTGGTGCGAGTGGGGGAGGAGGTGGGGTTACCTTTCACCTGAAATGGAGTGCTGATACAAACAGCAGATTTGACTCTGGTCCCCAACCTTATCTTCACGGCTCGCACCTCAAACAAGTCCCCAGACTTCCCTGGAGAGGGAGAAAGGGGATCAGGGGTGCATTCTACCCCCTTTCTAGGAGGGGGCAGGCAGAACTTCCCGGAAACCAGGACATCTGCCAAGAAACGTTTGCATTCCTTGGGAGACATTTCTTCTGGATCCCCCAAAGCTGGGTATCCTAGCTACTGACTATCCTAAGGCTACTAACTATCTGGGTGTTGTGCTGCCTAACTTCTGCTTAGCATTAGAAAGGAAGATTTTACTCTTATGAAAGAGCGCACACTAAAGGCTCAGTAAATACGCAGTGGTCACCTCGCTGGAGAAGCTGGCTTCCAAACTCAAAGGGCAGGAGGTGCCATCCCCCTGTGTGTGTGCTTTGAAGAGCCTACTTATAGCAGAAGCCCAACATTTGAGTTCACAAAGTCCCATGGTCTCCTCTACATAGATTCTGACTTCAGGAGGCCAAAACTCCACACCCTGGGTGTGAGACTGCTCTCTAGACACAAAGTCTCTCCTCCTCTGAGAGCAAAAACTCTGATACAAGCAATTTTCTAGCTTAGGAAGAGTTCAAACGACTTTGAGGTTCTTTGTGTGTAAGGGGAGGGTGGGTGTGTGCAGAGACCAGAGATCAGACTTTGATGTCAGTCCTCAAGAGCCGCACAACCTGTTTTGAGACGCACTGTCCCTGGGTTGCTGGTCAGCCTAGGCTGGCTGTCCCCAAGCCTCAGATACCAGCCTTTCTCCGCCTTCCCAGTTTTGAGATTGTAGGTGCATGTTGCTGTACCTGGATTTTTTTTACACCAGTGCTAGAGACCAAACTCATGCTTGTGTAGCAAACGCGTCCCCCCACCCCTTACTGTGTGCTTCCATGCGCCTCCAAACACCACCCCAGGGGCTTGACATTACACTCTGAGACATTTTGCTCTGTGGCTGAGCAAAATTTTCCTCAGTTGCTTTCATTTTTAAAATACAAGTGTCTTTGAGGAATATCTCCAGTTCTGGACCCACTACCTTCTCCTCCACAAAGGGGAGAATGAGAAGGGATGTTGGGGAGGCTGAGGAACAGATATGGACCTTGAAGCACGAGAAAGGGAAGACAGATATAAACAGCCCTGACTATTTCACAAAGTGCCGAAGGTCAGATCCAGCCATTCACGTCCCTCTGAGTTACATGTGGTCCCACCTAACACGGGGGCAAGCCTATCTCTGGGTTTAGTGGTAGGGTGACCTTTTACTTATCATCCGCATGAGAATTGATACCATGAATAAGTAAGCCTACATAACAAGCATAATAAATAGGATTGGTGCCCTGTGAACACTCAGAAGCAGGGTCCCTGTCTGAGACCTCTGTGGGTGGGAACAAATCCATACCACTTTGGTTTTTCTGGGTTTTGTTTTGCTTTTTTTTTTTGTCTGTTTCTCCCCAGTGTTCTATTTGGGGCTTCTCTGAAGAGTTTGTTTCCCTGCTGAAAAGACACAAAATCTTCCAAACCTGGAATCCATGACATCAAAGACTAGGGGCCAAGATGTGAGGACAAAACAGTTCTCATCCACTTCCTGGAGTGAGTGCAGCAGAGGAGGAGTGACTGGTAATGGCCAGAAGAGGCTGCACCCCAGAGGTGCATGGAGGATGCAGGGCAGCTCTGGGGAAGCCCCAGTTCATCCACAGGGCTGCAGTAGTCAAGGCATAATCCCAGACGTGGTTGAAGGGCTGCTTTTGCCTAGTTCTGCCTGGAACCCAAAAGGCAGCAGCTTCAGTAGTCGAGGGTCCTCGTGGGACGAGCGCAGAAGACATTGGTAGGTGTTTTAGCATCGTGAAAGATCAGTAGTAAAGAAATCCAGTAGACACTCAGACAGCCCCAGCCCTCACTGAAATGTTCCTACACACACAAACACAAACACATGGATGCATGTGCACGGGCACACACACACTTCAAGGTTCTCCATTGTCCTGTAGAAACACACACACACACACACACACACACGCACTTCAAGGTTCTCGCCATTGTCCTGAAGAAACACACACACGGACACAGACACGCACACACATACACACACACTTCAAGGTTCTCGCCATTGTCCTATAGAAACACACACACGGACACAGACACAGACACACACACACACACACGCAAAAAGCCCAAGGGGCTTTTGTGGGGCTGTCAGAAACACAGCTGTTTAGGGCAGAAACCAAAGCACCTCGGAGCAGAAAGTGGACCGTCAGTGTCCACACTGAGAGGGACAAGGCTGGCCCACTAAGACAACGAGGGTGGTTCTCAAATCACTGCAGAGCCTCCCAGTTAATCTCATCAGTTGTCATGGTCCCGCCGCTCCGTGCTCCGGTCACAGGTAGTGCCCGCTTCTTCCTCCACCTCCTGGCAGTGGGAGTCTGGGTCACAAAGATCTGTGAATCACAGCCACACCTGACACGGAAGGGAAAGAAAGTCACCATCTTCACTTCTCCGAAGTTAATCAGAGTCCCAGCGGGTCCAGGAATCTGCCATACCCTGTCACAGCCCGTGGAAGGGTCGCATGCTATCGCTGCCAGGAGCTGGCTGTTTCCACTCTGACAGCCACATCCTGGTGGGACATTGAATCCATGAGCATGATCTCAAACAGCACATGCCAGCAGACACACCCAACTCCTCTTCCTGACCACGGCACCCAGCTTAATACCCCCCACATCCCCCACTGAGGACCCAGAGACATCTGTTCCAAATCGGTATCATTTCCTGGAGAAGCAATGGCTGATACAGGTCGACTCTGCTACTTTTAGAAATCACTGGGATGAACTATGAAGAACAATACACCAACTCCATGGGAAGAAGGAAAAAGAAACTCCAACCCAAGCCTTGCCCAGAGGCGATCTGTACCGTGGTCTTCAGTGAGTTTCTTCACACCTGCAGGCTACTTCTCACATTGCTCGCTGTCATGGAACTGAGACCCTCATCCGGCGCTCAGTTCCCAACTGGATAAACTTTCCAAACATGTGCTGTGTGTCACTGCTTTTGTTAAACTTAACCACACTGAGGTCCTAACTCTGAAAATCCATGTGTCACCCAAGTTTCACCGTAATCCACTGAGACCATCTGGAAGATATTAGAGGCTGAAGAAGCCAACATCCCTTCTGCACACTGTTCTCCATCCACTATACACACCAGCGAGTGACACACTTGGCCTGCTAGACGGCTTCCCAAATGCCCTGTCGCCTGGTCCTAGCCAATGAGACTGGAAGGCAAGTCTTCTGGGGTATGACGGCAGCTTGTCCACTTCTACTGCCTGGGACCACACACCTCCTTCCTGGTGGAAATCAGCACCAGGCAGGGTTCTGGAACCTGCTACTAAATAATAACTCAGAAAGTGTCATGCAAATGGATGGAATTAGAAAACGCTATCCTGAGTGAGGTAACCCAGACCCAAAAGGATGAATATGGTATGTACTCACTCATACGTGGATACTAGCTATAAACAAAGAATATTGAGCCTATAGTTCATAATCCTAGAGTAGCTAAGTAATAAGGTGAACCCTAAGAAAAACATACATACCTGGAAAGTGGAAACAGACAAAATTGAGAGTGTGTGTGTGGTGGTGGGGGGGGAGAAGGGAGGGCGGAAGGGGAAGAGAAGGGGAGAGGAGAGGGGTGAGAAGAACTTGAGGGAATGAGACAGTTGAGAAGGAGGAAGGACAGAGAGGAGAGCAAGGAAAGAGATATCGTGATTGAGGGAGTCATGATAGGGTTAGCAAGAAACCTGGCTCTAGAGAAATTCCCAGGAATCCACAAGGATGACCACAGCTAAGACCCTAAGCAATAGAGGAAAGGGGGCCCAATCTTGACTTGCCCTGTAACCAGACTGATAAGTATCTTAAATATCACCATAGAACCTTCATCCAGCAACTGATGGAAACAGAGGCAGAGACTCACATCAGAGCACTGGGCTGAGCTCCCAAGGTCCAGTTGAAGAGTGGGAGGAATGAGAATATGAGCAAAGAGGTCAAGACCATGATGGTTCACTCACTGAAACAGTCTACCTGAGCTAATGGGAGCTCACCAACTCCAGCCAGACCAGGAAGGAATAAGCATAGGACCAAACTAGTCCCTCTGAATGCGGCTGACAGTTGCATGCCTGGGGCAGACTGAGGGGCCATTGGCAGTGGCACCAAGATTTATCCCTACTGCATGTCCTGGCTTTTTGGAAACCTATTCTCTTTGAATGATACCTTGCTCAGCCTAGATATAGTAGGGAGGGCCTTGGACCTTCCCCAAAGCAATGTGCCTTACCCTCTCTGAGGATTGGATGGGGTGGGGTAGGAGGGTATGTGGAGGGAATGGGAGGAGGAGAGAGAGTGGGAACTTGGATTGGTATGTATAATGAAAAAAAATAGTTTGCTTTCTTTTAAAAAATAAAAATAAGAAATAAAGTGCCCACAAGTGAACAAGTTTGCTAGAAGGTTTTTTTTTCCCCCTGTTCTGTCTTTGGGGGTTTATTTTGTTTTTCAAGACTGAGTTTCTCTGTGTAGTATTAGCTGTCCTAGAACTCACTCTGTAGACCAGGCTGGCCCTCAAGCTCAGAGGCCCATGAAGCATGACTAATAAAAACTCAGAGAGAGAAATTGGGGTTCAATTTGAAGATCCAAAAACCAAAGCCTGGTTTTTATAAGCAACTAGTGTGGCTACTGGTATTAAAGGTGTGTGTCACCACTGCCTGGTCTGTAAGGCTGGCCAGTGGGGCTGATTTACTCTCTGATCTTCAAGCAAGCTTTATTTATTAAAATACAAATGAAATGCCACTACAGGCCCACCTGCCTCTGCTTCCCGAGGGCTGGGATTAAAAGCGTACGCCACCACTGCCTGGCTTGGAGATTTATTTTAACATGCTCCTATAGCTATAAAATACTCTGACTGATGGTGAGGTTAAGGAAACACAAATTAAAGAATAGGAGGACACGCCATCATGGACACTTTGCTTGAGATACCCATTCCCTCTTCATCCCTGGCTAAAGAGCCTGGAGGCAGGCGGAACTTGGCTCCAGACCAAAAGCTACCACCTGGCCTTGGCAGCCTCTCCTGTGTCTCAGACATCTCTCTCACTGAGCAATACCTGCTAAAAAGCAGGCTCTCATGGTGTTTTCATGTAGTGTTTTTCATATGAGCCTATTTTATTAAGAAAGCAATATGCTCTCATTATGGAAAATGCAGAAGAAAAAAGGAGAAACCTTTATTCCCTCAAAGAGAACAACCATCATCTCTTCAGTCCTTTCCAGCTTCTAATAATAATCGGAACGTGCTAACTCATGGTGGCTCACACCAGGCAGGCTCCATGCCACAAACCATACATACGGTATCACGGTATCACGTTGCAGTCTCTGAAAGGCCCTCGGAGGCCCAATCTAATTTTATCCCCATTTTCCAACTGAGCCAATGGAGGTTTGGTCAGGCTGAATGCATCGCCCAGAGACCCAAGGCTTGTGGCAGATCTGAGAATTCAACATCCAAGCCCTCCAAGCTCCCTCTCCTCCGGGATAGGACCTGAGCACTGGGCACCCTTGGGCACATACAGTGTGAGTCCTCCTCAAACCCAGCATGTCAAGCACAAGCATTTTCTCCAGACATTAAAAACAAAGGAGGTGGGGATGAGTTGGGAGGAGTTGGGGGAGGGAAAATCAGAATCAGAATATACCTACAGTATGAAAAAAATCTATTTTCAATTTTTAAAAAGAAAAATATACCCACTGAATTCCATACAATATTTAATTATTTCACTAATGTCAATTCATTAAATACTATCATTTTCGGGAGAGGGGGAGATGCTATTATAAGCAATGCCCTGATAAGGTATGTCTGCCTTAATAACACATTCACTTGGTCCATTGGTTTGAGCACAAAATGGCCCGATTGTCTCCTTCCCACCAGTTCTGAGTAGGCAGACAGTGGCGCAAGGCTTTGAAGTATTCAGCAGATCTGTGAAATCCTGATGGGTTCTACTCAGCCCACCCACTTCTCATTAACACAGAGGTGGAGCCGGAGGATCCCGCCCACTTCCTCAACCTACAAAACAACCTGTCCCCTCTGTAGTTTCAGAAAGAAAAGGTGCTGATCTTCACGAGCACGGGGTTGTTCTGGCGTCCAATGCTTCCAATGTCTTAGTGGAGGAAAACGTAACAGGGTGAGAAAGACTTAGAGGAAGGGACGGCGAAAGAGACACACGGCAGAGGGGAAGGGTGACGGAGCCCTTGGCACCCGCAGGACACCTGGACAAGATGGAACAGCTGACAGCTGACCTTTCCCGTGGGAAACGGGAGTAAGAGGAGGGGCACTGGGGCCAAGGTGTACCTGACACGAGATAACAAGTTTTTAATACTTGGGATAATTAGCGGATGGCACACAGTGTGTGCTCGGTAAATAAACATTAAGTCCACATGGAGCTGAATGTTCAGGCCAGACATAAGAAGCTGGGCTTGTATTTCTCCTCTTCAGAGGATCCCTGACCAATAGCAACTCACGGCCCTGCACTGCACTGAACTTGGTACTGCCTCCTACAAGAAAGAGCCTCTACACCAGTCTGCCCCTTCTCCCCCACCCAAGTCTACCCCTTACACACCAGTCTGCCCATTACCCCCCAGTCTATTACCCCCAGTCTGCCCGTTACCCCCCCAGTCTACCCATCATCCTAGTCTACCCATTACCCTTCAGTCTGCCCATTACCCCCAGTCTATTACTCCCCAGTCTGCCCATTGCTCCCAGTATGCCAATTACTCCCCAGTCTGTCCTTTACCCCCCAGTCTATTATCCCCCGGGTCTACCTATTACCTCCCAGTCTGCCCATTACCCCCCAGTCTATTACTCCCCGGGTCTACCCATTACCCCCCCCCCCC